ATTTTTCTACTTTTAAAATTATAGCACTATTTTACCTAGTCAGGTGTGAAATTTGTCAAAACAGTAAATTTGTTATTTATTAGGGAAAAAGAAACATTTTTTCTAAAATACAAAATTCATTTAATAAGTAGAAAAAGTTGACTAAAGTCAGACAAAGATGTAATTTTTATTCTTTACAAGTATCGTTTATTTTTGAGTAAAAAGAATACTTTTCGCCATAAATTTAATTTCTAATTTGATTTATTCGTCCAAAAGGGTCAAAAACTACTTTTTAAGTAGAAAAAGACAGACAATAATATTTTTAGATCGTAAAATTTGTATACTTTTGAAAATACTTTTCCCCTATTCAGTAGGAAAAGTATTTCTATAACGAAATTTTAGTTTTATTTATTAAAATTTGTTCTACAAAGTCAAATTTTGATTTTTAAGTAGAAAAAGTATTGTTTAGCCAGACAATAATATTTTATTTAATAGAATTTATACTCTCAAAAATAATTTTTTGCTTTTCAGTGGGAAAAGTATTTTTATTGCAAACTTTTAGTTTTATTTAGTGAAGTTTGTCCTGCAAACTCAAATTTTACTTTTCAAGTAGAAATAGTATTCTTTGGTCAGACAATAATGTTTTTGGTCAATAAAATTTATATCCTCGAGAATAAGATTTTTTTCAGTAGAAAAAGGAGTTTAATTGCTAAAAATTACAGTTTTAACTTTTAACTAAACGAATTTGTTCCATGCAGACAAAAATTACGTTTTAAGTGAAAAAAGTACGGTTTAGTCAGACAAAATATTTTTTTTTCAATTTTATTCTAAAAGTTAGAATTTTTCTTCTTTTTAAAAATAGGAAAAAAAATTTTTGTTCCTAGTGTGTTACTTACTAGGAACTAGGAAGTTGAATAAATTTGATACAGTTCAAAATTTTTTTTACTAAGTAGAAACAGTAGACTAAGGTCAGCCAAAAAATATCTAATCTGTAGAATACTAGTTTATTTTGAAGTAGAAAAACTACTTTTCGTTTGTAAACTTTAATTCTATTTATATAATTTACTTCTATGGGTTCAAAATTTTTTCTTAAGTAGAAGAAGTTAGTCAAAGACAGACTGTATTTTGATTAGAAAAACAACTGTTCGGTCAGATATAAATTGTTTAAGCTAAAAAAATTAATATTCCGAAAAATAATATACATTTTTAAGTACAAAAAGTAGTTTTTGTAACGAAGTAAAAAATTTCCAGATTTGGAATAAAATTTATTTAAAAAAAAATTTGTCTGACTACACAGTACTTTTTCTACTTGAAAAATAAATTTTGAAGTTATGTGATTTATTTATCTGATTATATGTAAAATTTTTCAATAAAACTACTGTTTCTTCTTAAAAAGTAAATATTATTTATTAGATTATCAATTTTTTTATCAATTTTTGTCTGACAAATCAGTACTTTTTCTACTTAAAAAGTTAATTTCGACACAAAGGCGTAATTTATCTAGTCAGAAGTGCATTTCTGTAACAAAAATATTTTTCTACTAAAAATAATAATAATAATACCTAATAATAATGCATAAATAATTTTTAAAAACGAACTTTAGCAGCCAATTTTTATTAAAATATATTTTTTCGACTTTTGTCTGACTAAACTGTACTTTACCTACTTGAAAATAATGTTTAACATCAAAGAATTAATTTTCTTTGAAGGTAAGTAATAAACCCATTTTTCAAACTTAATAATCAACAGTTTCTTTGAGAATATTTATTTATCTCTTGTCTGACTAAACTGTACTTCACCTACTTGGAAGTAATTTCTTGAAAATTCATTTTTTTTAATGCAAATAACAAACCAATTTTTTTACTTTAGCAAATATTTTCTCTGAGAATACATTTTTTTGACTCTAGTCTGACTAAAATGTACTTTAGCTACTTAAAAATAATTTTTAACATTAAAAAATTTTATTGAACAAAAAGAAAAATGACAAAACAATTTTTTTAAACTTAACAGCAAATATTTCCAATTAAAAAAAAAAATTTTCGACTGGGAAATATTTGCGTCTGGTTTAACTGTACTTTTTCTAATTTTTTCAAAAAAATCTATTTTAAAATTATTGGTCTTTAAACGTAAAAGTAAAATCTACTTAAAAGAAAAATTTCGTTATAGAACTACTTTCTACTGCTAAAATTGTGTTTTAAAATAAAATTGTGTTTTAGAAATAATTTTGTCTGACTTAACTACACTTTTTCTACTAAAAAAGTATATTCTGAAATTATTTGCCTGAATAGTAAAAGTAAAATCTACTTAAAAGTAGAATTTAGTAACTTTTTGCTAATAAGTGAATATTGGCGCTTAACATAAAAATTAAAAATTGTTTTTTCTTTTTAATTATTTTGTCTGACCTAACTGTACTTTTTCTACTTAAATATTTTTTATATATATCACCATTAATTTATCAACCTACTTGTAAATTTGCTAAACAAAAACTAATTTTTGTAACAAAAAATAAATGTATAAAAATACATTTTTTGCTACTAAAAATACTGTCTGGTTTAACTACACTCTTTCTACTTAAAGATATAGTAAAATAAATTCCGTCTATTGATAAATGAACTAACTGCACTTTATCTACTTGAAAATAATTTTTACCACTAAAGAATTAATTAATGATGGTTTAATAATAATTAAATTAATAATAATCCTAGAAAATTTTACGACCATTGATCAAAATCGAAATCCACACTATTGTTTTCGTGAAACTCTACCCATCTTATGAGGAAGGAATAATAAAATACTGTTAATCATAATAATAATAATAATAATAATAATAATAATAATAATAATAATAATAATAATCACAAAACAATGAAAAGACAAAAGTTGAAATATATTATGATAATAACAAACTACATAATATGACACACAAAACCCAGCGTAAAATTAGGAGTAACGAGAGCAACTCTTGTTATCCTTCAACTTTACTACAGTTCCCTGGCTAGATTGACGTCGGATATACAGAACTTTCTACTCAGGAAGTTATTCTAAGCTAGTAAATGCATAAAGCTGTTAATTATTGGAAAAGCATGAAAATCCAACTTTATATTTGACAAATTTTGTCCATCAAATTGATTCTCTTTTCACTATATATATAATCCTATAGAAATATTCCAATATAGGCCAGACTATACTTTTTTCAAATTTTTAATTTTCTGATTTTTAAAATTTTTTCTTTTTTCATGTAAAAAAGATTTCATTATTTCCTGAATGGAAAACAATGTTTCTTTTTTAATATTTTGATGCAATTTATTTACAGATGTGTAAATTATGGAATTTCGGATGAGAAAACACCCAACGATTCATAAATTGACGCAACATTATTTTGCATTATATTTGCTGAACGTTTCGTTAAATTTTGAATAAATTGTCCATATAAATTATATAATATGGCTTATCGCTCTAAATATTCGAGAGATATTAATGCGATTCTATAACATAATTTCTAAAACAATTTCTTAACAAATTAAAAAAATTTTCAAAGAATTTTAATAATAGTGTTTTGAATTTTTACGCATTAATTTCTTTATTTATCCTGATAATTGACTCGCATTTTTTTCGTTAAATTTAATTTTAGAGAAATTATTTTATAAAAAAAAGAAGTAAACAATAAATCTAAAATAATAAAATTTTGTTTTTTTAAATTTAAATTAAAATTTTTAAGTAAAATACTTTTTAAACATTTTTTTCGTTAAATTTAATTGGAAAAGGTAGTTTACACTATAAAGAAGAAAGTAAAAAATAAAACTAAAATAATTAAAATTTTTTTTTAATTTAAATTTAAATGTAAAAATTTTTAAGTTTAAAACTTTTTTTTTACATTTTTTTTTGATAAATTTAATTGGAAAAGTTATTTACACTGTAAAGAAAGAAGTCAAAAAAAAAAAAATAAATAAAACTAAAATAATAAAATTCATTATTCAAAATCTAGAATGAGTTTCATTACAATTTCGTTAAAGGTTGAGTAAATTACTTTTACTTTTGTTTAATGGAGTTACACAAAAACATTCTCAAATACAATTGTAACTGATGTATAATGTAGCTAGAGAGAAACTGAAATTCAGTATCAGGGAAACAAAGAGTCATTTATAATTAATTTTCAAAAAACACCGCTATAAACTCTATTTAATAAATAAACCTACATTTTTAATCTCACTTTGACAGAAAATTCAAAACGCATTCATAAAAAGCATTCGATAAAGAAATATTTATTTTAATTTCAGTTTATTGTTTGCAGAACTAAAGAAGAAATTTAATAAAATACAAAAAAAGTAATTAATAATTATTTTAAAAAATTATTCTAAACAATTATTTTAAACTATTGTTTTAAACAATTATTTTAAACTATTGTTTCAAACAGTTACTTTGAACTATTGTTTCAAACAATTACTTTGAACTATTGTTTTAAACAATTATTTTGATAAATATATATAATTATTTTGATTAATTTTGAAAAATTATTTTAAACAATCATTTTAGGCAATAATTCAACAAAAAGAATTTATTTGTAGATAATTATTTTAAACAATTATTATAAATAATTATTTTAAACTAGAGTGAAACCTGTCGAAATGCACATCGGATTTTTTAAATTTTATTACAGTAAATTCTGGAACTAAGTGAAAATAATTCTTGTTGGATATTTTTTAATCCAAAAAAATTTTAAATCTTGAATTGCATTTCGACAGGTTTGACTCTATTGTTTTAAACAATTATTTTAGATAATAATTTGAAAAAAAAATTTGAAATATTTACTAAGAAATGTTATGCATAAAAAATGTTTTCAGCAAAAAATTACTGTTTATCTTCAAAATTATTATTAGAATTTTAAATAAGAAAACTTAAAATTAAAATTTATAATGATTTTTTCTATTATTTATTTTATGAAATATAAATATAAATTCTCATCGCATTTATCCGAAATTGTAAATGAAAAAAATAAAAATAATTTTTTAAAGTTTACTCACCGATTGAAGAAATAACCCCAATAATAAATAAAAGAAGACACTTGACTTTGACAATGTCGCGGCATTTTTTCGCGCACATGTCGAAAAATTGAAAATTCGTTTACGTTTTCAATTGCTCTCGTTATGAATCGCACGACCACTCGTGTGGCTCTGAGGAGACCGCTGGATTTTGAGTTTGAATCTCTTCAGCATCCTGACTAAAGTGGCAAAAGGCGCCTGCTCATAGACGACCAGCGTATCAGGGATGCTGAAATTCCATTAATCCCCGACTCTATGAATTTTTCTTGCCTCCATAATACACTGAATTAAATTAATAAATTATTTAAATACACTAAATTTTTTAATTATTCTTTTTTCTAATTTTAATTTTTTCATAGTTTAAAATTTTTTTAAATCTCTTGTCAGATTTTTTCCTTTTTGATAAATTAACAAATAAGTTGAAATTTAAACATAATTATTGTATTTTTTTAAATTAACAATAAAATACTTTGAGAGATTTGTTATTTTTTTCTGTTAAAAAATTATTCTATTCCTCTTTGTACTGAAGTGTTTGACACAAGTTGGCGCCACTTTTCAAGCAATTCCACGTCTAGAAGTGTGGAAAAGTCATTTCCTGTTTTACAATTTTTCGAAAATTAAAAAAATTATGTACTTTCAAAAATATTTTAATTTTATTTTCAAAATACTTTTTAATTTCAATTTTGTTTTCCTTTTTCTTGACAAATTATCAACAAATTATCGGAACAATTTTTATTTAATTGAAAATTAAATTTTAATTATAATTGAATATTAAGGAAATAAAATTGTATTTTACAATTATAAACACAATCTTCAATATGAATTTATCAAATAAAATTGCGATAAAAATAGTTTTGAAATACCCTAGGCTTTTGCAATGAATCAGCAATGATTTGGATAAGTCGAGAAAGAAAATAATAAGCAATTAATAATTATTAATTAGCCTACAATTTTTATTAACATAATTTTCTATTATCCAACTTTGAATAAATTTTTCAAACACTAAAAATGTAATATTAAAGATTAAAAATTTGGAATTATGGAATTTAAAATTACACTATCTAAATTTAAATTAGAAAAAATGTTTAGTAATTTAAATAAGAGACTTTTTGCTTTCGAATTAGTAAATTTTACTTATAAATTAGTAGAACTTAGTATTTTTTACTAAACTTTACTAATTTAAAAGCAAAAAAAAATTATTAAACATTTTTACTATAATTAAAATATAGAGAGTAAAAATTAAAAATTAAAAATTTGATAATTAAAAATTTTGAATTTAAGATATAAAAATTTAAACGGTCATTAACTTCAAATATATAAAAATTGAAAGTTTTAAAAATTTAGAATTTAAAATATAAAAATTTAAAATTTTTTAAATTTAGAATTTAAAATATAAAAATAATTATTTTAAATAATAAATTTGAAAGGAATTTTCATTTATCTCCCGTATTTGAAAACAGAATATATTGTGCATTAATGAATCGTCAAAAAATTGACGATATTATTCTATCAGGAAAAACAAAGTAAATATCAAGTGAAATATTTGTAAACAAAATATTTCGAATATTATTAATAATAATGACGAAAGGCTTTAAAGCAGAATAATCGTAAATCACTCGATAACACTTTGACCCTTGCTATTGCAATAATTATTCTTTTTGCCACCAGAGATACGTTCTTTTTTTTTTCCTTAGTTAATAAATCATAATTTTTTTCACTCATTCACTGTTGTTTATCCTCAAGTTGGATGGGAAAATCCATCAGTTTATTGAGAGCATTTGAGGCGACACTATAACATCCATTTAACATTTTTTTAAAATTAAAAACTATTTTTTTAAATTTAAAAAAATTAAAAAAAATTTTAAACAATTAAAAAAAATTTGTAACAATTTTTAATTTTTAATTTTACAATAAAATAATGTATCCTCAAAATATTCCCAAACCAGCAAATAGAGACGACTATTCCTCAGATGGATCCCCACCTGACAAGGTGAGTCCAAATTTAATTTTCTATTTATTCACCAAAATTATTATAATTTTCACTTTAATAATTATTATAATTAAAATTTTTTATTATACAATAATTTTACAATTAACTAAAAAAAATAGAGCAAATTTTTTAAATTCCGGATATAGTGAGTAGAGCAAAAAAAATTTTCAAGTGCAAAAAAAAACTGATGAGAAAAAAATGAATAAATGTTATTGTAATATTTTTAAATGTCACGAGTGTCCTTGTAATTCGAGTTTAAAATGGATAAAAAAATTTTGAAAAAAAAGGAATGAATAAAATGTTGTACGTGACAGTTTATATTCTGTGTTGAGAGTAATTTTTTTTTTTTTATTGAAGGAATTTTAAGTGTATGAGATTAATGCTTTCGTAATACGATTAGTGAAGGTACACAAGAGTCTGTGAATTCTATAACAGTTTTTAATTTCAGCCTTCGAACACGTTTCACACACTAAATGAGGAAATTGATGAATTACGCAAAGCTTTTTCTATATACTGTCTCATTTAATTACAAATGTGATTCTGTGTCAAGAAAAACATTTTCATTATTTATTTTTCAAAGAGATAGAAATTGAAAAGTGGAATTTATTTTTAGAATACCAAAATTTATATACTTTTACGCATAAAATTTGTATATTTTTATAGTTTGTTTTATTAGAATAATTACTTTCTATTACATTAAAAGTTAAGTTCAATGGTAGAATTAATAGTTTTAATGTTTTACTTTAAATAAATTTTTATAAAAAAAATTTTTTTAGTCTGAATAAAATTTTGTGACTTTTTATTTCTCTTTTCACTTAAAAAGATAATTTTTCACGAATTATTTAAAATTGTAATTTTAAAATAAAACTACTTTTTTAATAAAAAAGGAAAAATTATTTTTTGGGGAATAGTTTTACTTTGCTAATAACACTCTTGTCTGAACAGACAATAATTTTTCTACTTAAAGAAAAATTTTTTACTCTATTTGGAAATTTTATCTTTTTAGAAAAGTCAATTTCGCAAAAAAATGCTTTTTTTACTTGAAAAATTGGCATTATTTTTATTTTTTAAATCAATAAATTTGTTGGAGCTAAAAATACGTCAGTCTGACTAAAGTCGACTTTACCTACTTGGAAATAATTTTAAACACTAAAGGAATTAATTTTTCTTGAAAGTAAATGACAACAATTTTTTTACTTTAGCAGCAAATTTTTTTAAAATATATTTTATAGACATTAGTCTGACTAAACTGTACTTTACCTACTTTCAAATAATTTTTAAGATTAAGTATTAATTTAACTATTAATTTTTATTTAATATTAATTATTATTAATTTAACTATCAATTTTTCTTAAAAGCAAGTCTCAAAACAATTTTTTTTTGAAATTTAACAACAAATATTTTCTTTGAAAATAAACGTTTTTAACTCTAGTCTGACTAAACAGTACTTTACCTACTAGAAAATATTTGTTAACATTAAAGAATTAATTTCCCTTGAAAGTAAGTAAAAAAACTATTTTTTCTAACTCAAAAACAAATATTTTCTTTAAGAATTTTTTTTTTAACCTTTGTCTGACTAAACTATAATTTACCTACTTGAGAATAAAATTTTAAGAATTAATTTTTCTTGAAAGTAAATGACAAAACGATTTTTTAACTTTACCAGCAAATATTTTCTTTGAGAATACATTTTTCGACTCTAGTCTGACTAAAATATACTTTACCTACTTAAAAATAATTTTTAACATTAAAGAATTTCATTGACAAATAAAAAATGACAAAACCATTTTTTAACTTTAGCAACAAATATTTTTATTGAGAATAAATTTTTTCAAGTCTAGTCTGACTAAATTCACTTTTGCTACTTAAAAATGTTTTTTAAGATTAAAGAATTCTATTGTCAAAAAAAAAAAAAATGACAACACAATTTTTTTAATTTAACAAATATTAGCAAATATTTCCATTGAGAAAATATTTTTTCGACTGAGAAATATTTTCGTCTGGTTTAACTGTACTTTCTCTACTTTTATCGAAAAAATATATTTCAAAATTATTGGTCTTAAAACGTAAAAGTAAAATATATTTAAAAGTAAAATTTAGTTATAGAACTACTTTTTTTGCTAAAAAAAGGAGAATATTGACGCTGACCTTAAAAATTGTGTTTTAGAAATTATTTCGTCTGACTTAGCTGCACTTTTTCTACTAAAATAGTTTATTTTGAAATTTTGTTTCTGAAAAGTAAAAGTAAAATCCACTTAAAAGTACAATTTAGTAACATTTTCTGCTAAAACATGTGAATATTGACGCTAAACATGAAAATTGTGTTTTAGAAATTATTTTGTCTGACTTAAATTCACTTTTTCTACTAAAAACCAAATTCTGAAATTATTGTCCTGAAAAGTAAAAGTAAAATCTATTTAAAAGTACAATTTAGTAACTTTTTCTGCTAAAAATGGTGAATATTGACGCTGAACATAAAAATTGTGTTTCAGAGATTATTTTGTCTGACCTAACTGTACTTTTTCTACTTAAATTTTTTTTTGATATATAACACCATTAATTTATTAACCTACATGTAAATTTGATAACCAAACTAATTTTTCTGTAACAAAAAATAAATATATACTTGAAAATAAATTTTTTCTTACTAAAAATATTCCTGTCTGGATTAACCATACTTTTTCTACTTAAAAATAGTAAAATATTCAGCTTATTGCTAAATAAAAATAAAAAACCTAAATAATTAAAATTCTTGTCAATAAAAAATTAATTTGAAAATTTCAAAGTCAAAATTAAGCAAAAGCAGCAAAAAATTGTATTAACTTCAACTATAATATTGATATTAAATGCAAAATAAATGAACAGGTTTTTCCAAAAGTGAATAAAAAATTGGATTTATGTACATTTGGCCTTATTCCAAAACTTTTACGCAGAGTATTAAGAAAATTTGTTAAGTTTCCAATTTTTTTTTCAAACTCTCTCTCTCTCTCTCTCCCTCTGTAAATACTTAAAAACCTTTGACCTTTGAGATTTTGCGCATCAGTTGAATATTTTGTGTAAATTTTTCTGTAAAATTTCCTTTGCAGAAAAATCTTTGGGACTTGAAAGTGTGTGTAATGAATATAATATGCATAGGAATTGTCCTTTTATCTTTTGCACCTGAACTTTCTAATATACAAAGTTTAACATTAGATGAGATGGAAAACTTTGACTTAAGAAATACAACGCGTTCAGGTTACAAGGGTTGAAAACGTTCTTCGACATTTCCTATAGGGCAAACTTGCATATCTAATATGGTTTCTCGTGTATAGTTATACAGAGTAGTTCTCGTTCCAATATGCATACTGTCAGAGTCAACGTGTCTTGAATTTATACTGAAAAGACCCTTTCATTCTTGCTATGTGTATATTCTATAAAACCATAAACTGCATAACTTCAAAATTATGTTATCTTAATTACATTTTTTTCATTATTTATCTTATTAAGTAAATTATTATTTAAGTTATCAATTTCTTATTTTTTAAATTTACAAATTTTATTTATTGCAATTTTTTGAATTCTTTATGAGAATTATTTTAATAATTTTATAGAATGTTTTTTATCAATTTTCTACCTTTTAGTTTACAAAGGTTGAATTAATTAAATAACGCACTTCTAAATTTAATTAAGTAAAAATATAATATAATTTACTAAATATATATTCTAAATTTAAATGTGTAAATAAAATTTAATTAATTGAATTAAAACAATAAGAATATAATTTAATTTAAAAGAAATATAATATAATTAACAATAGCATTATAACACTACTTTTTTTAATAATTATACTTTTGTCTGACTTTTAATGTCTCTTTCTACTTAAATGTCAATTTTTGACGAATTTATTCATTTAAAATTGCAATTTTGCAATAAAACTACTTTTTCAATAAAAAACAGAAAATTATTTTCTGGAAAATAGGTTTTCTTTGCTAAAAACACTTTTGTCTGAACAAACAATACTTTTTCTACTTAAACAGTAATTTTTGACTTTGTTAAAAAAAATTATCTTTCTTTATATAAGTGAAATTTCACAAAAAGCTGCTTCTTGAAAAGTTGACATTATTTTTATTTTTGAGATTATAAATTTTTTGAAGCTAAAAATACGCCTGTCTGACTAAATTGTACTTTACCTACTTGGAAATAATTTTCTATACTCAACAAATTAATTTCTCTTGAAATTAATCGACAACAATTTTTTCAAACTTGACAATAAACATTTTTTTGAGAATAAATTTTCCCTACTCTAGTTTGACTAAACAGTAGCTTTACCTACGTGAAAATACTTTTTAACTTTTTAAGTCTTTAACATTAAAAAATTAATTTTTTATGAAAGTAAGTAACAAAACTATTTTTTCAAACTACAGAACAAATATTTTCTTTGAGAATAAATGTTTCCAACTCTAGTCTGACTAAACAGTACTTTACCTACTGATTCGCCCACTGGAAAATAATTTTTAAAGTTAAAGAATTTTTTATTAATTTAATTTAAAAAATCTAATTTAATTATAATAATATAGAAATATAAAATACAAAAAGAAGAAAATAGTTTCGAAAAGATTAGGAGTCAATGAACTTGAATGTAAACAACTCTTCCTGACTTGCTTTCTTTTTTATGATAATAATTTTGAAATCTAGTAAAAATAAAAATTTCTATTATTAATCGAAATTAATTACCTTCGAGGTATAAAAAATATATATTTTTACAAAAAATATTTTTGAATATTGAAAATATTTTTTTACTTGTAGGTATACTTATGTATCAATTTCTAAAAATTTTCTATTTTTGGTCAGAGAAATCAATATGAATTATTGTTTTTGTTTTTATCTTCTCTGGCCTAATGGTTTTATTTTTAATTAAATTGTCATTAGTTTCGAAAAATTTTTTTTTATTTTGATTACTATTATTATCATCATCATCATCATTACTTATAAGTATTATTATTTTTTATTATTATTAATATTATTTCTATTATTATATAGATCAATATATATATATATATATATATATGATGTATTGTTTTTTTTCACACAAAAATAAAAATCCAAATGCATCAACTGTTTTAACTAAAGGAAAATATTTCATCAGCTTTTGAAGTTGAAGGAAGGAAAGTTTAATGTGTAAAAAATTAGAGTCGAAGGTTATTTTTTTTCCACTCAATTCCGAGTAACAATTTTAAAGGATGAATCCCCGTAATTCATTGTAGAATGATGTAAAAATCGGAGAAGTTACAAGTGTCCTGAAAAAGTTCTTATAAATATTGACAAGTTATACTTTTACTCTTTAGTTTCTTTAAAAACGTCATGTAGAACACATCTGTCTCTATTTTTCAGTGACGCGCACAAGTGCCTTTCATTTTTTTCAATCTCTGAAACTAAAGTGTCTATTTTGTTATTTTCTTTACAATCTCAGTTTAAATGTTTATTTAATACATTTATTTTTAAAATAAAAGTTTATTTTAATTTAATATTTTATTTAATATTTCATATTTAATATTAAAAAAAATATATTTACATATAATTAAAGTGATAAATTTAATATTAAAAAAATATATTTACATATATATTTAAAGTGATAAAAAATGATAAAATTTTTTTAAAATGTTTGAAACCTAACAAAGAGTTAAAATAAAAAAAAATTTCCAAAAAGAAAATTTTAATAAATGTTTTGAATAAAATTGGAAAACAAATGTCAAAGCTCAGTCTTTGTTAAAATGACAATTATATGAATTTGAAAAAGTTTATTTTTTTGTAATGAGTGTAGAACAATTATTTAAAATACAAGAGAAAAAAATGTCGAGGAATTGATTTTTTTTAATCTTATCTTTCAATGAATTACAAATTTAAAAAAAATAGTTATTTATAATTATTTATCATTAAGTGTGTTGTGAAAAAAAATTTAAGAACCTTGAAGACTGACCTTTCCAAAATGGGACAAAATAATATGTTTCAAGAGCAAATATGCGATGTAAGAAATTAAGAATACGATACGATAATTACTTATTTAATAATTATTAATTACTCGCAATTGCCGCTTGTCGCTCATTATCTACGAAAAATTCTTTTTTTTAACTTTTTCCATTTCAGAGATAAAAATATCATTAATAATTATTAATTATTATTAATTAGTAATAATAATAATAACTAAAAATTTAAGTCAATTTTCGAATTAATATTGAAAATATTAGTAAAGTCGTCAATAATATGGAAAATGTTTTTTTAATTTTTTATTTTATTATTATTTTGGAAAAAGAATAATTTCGATTTCGATAAATATTCGACAATATAATTCTTTATTTTCAGCCAAAGTTAATGGAAGGTGGAAACTATATAAAAGAAGGAAGAGACTCGGCAAAAAGTACGTGCCTCATATTTTCGCCTAAAGAAGAAGACGAGGTGGGAGCTTTAGGAAGATATCTTCAACTCTTCACTGTAAGTATTGAGCAAAAAAAAAAAATGTTCAGTTCAATCGAAACCCTTCAGAATTTAATCAGTAATATGACTTCTTATAACTTTGATCTATATTGTAAAGAGAAATCTCTCGTAAAGATGATGAATTGAAATAAGTTTATAACTGGTTTACAGAAGTAAAATGTTTCTTATTCACATTAATCAATTACACTTGTAAATATTTTTTTTTTTTTTATTCTCAAAAACAATAACTGAATGTAAATTTAATCATGAAATATTCTTTTATCTTTCCATATTTATGTTTTAATAATTAATCATTATTTTAATTTCGTAATCTTTTTTTATTACCAATTTAATTAAAGTAAGTTAATTTTTTTAATTAATAATTATTATAAAAATTTATTTTCTAAAATTTTTTTAGAAATATGACGTGAATTTACTTCACATTGAATCGAGAAGTTCACTCCGTCAGCCGGATGGTTATGAATTTATGGTCGAATGCGCTCCGGGCGGCGATTTTGGAGGTGTTATCGAGGAACTTCAAAACCAATGTGACTATTTTTCAATTATTTCCAGGTAAGGAAAAAAATAAAGAAATAGGAAAATTTTACAATATTTATATAGTGAACGTATTGTACTTGAATTATTGAAAAATTCGTAAAAATAAAAAAATTTTTCAAGTTACAATTAAAAAGAAATTATTTTTTCTAATTTACTTTTATTTTGAGGCAGTTTTATATTTTAAGAGGGATTATTTCTCTTAACAAGTATAATATTAATTGAGAATGTTTTATGACAGGAATCATAGAGATAATATGGGAACAGTGCCTTGGTTTCCCAGGAGATTTAGAGACCTCGATAAGTTTGCTAATCAGATTTTAACTTATGGCTCTGAACTTGATAGTGATCATCCAGGATTTACGGACCCTGTTTATAGGAAAAGGAGAAAATATTTTGCTGATATTGCTTATCATTACAGAACGTGAGTTAACAATTTATGTTTAGAAAAAAAAATTATTTTTATTTATTTAAGAAAAAATTATATAAAAATATTTATATATATTTGAAATATTTATTTTTCCTTAGACGAGAAAATAATGAGGTAGTGAAGTCAAATAGTACTTTTTCCACTTTAAAACAAATTTTTACTCAGCAGGAGAAATTAAATAGGAATATAAATTAAATTTCGAAGAAAAACTACAATTTCTACTCAAAACATGAATATTATTTTTGAGATTATCATTTTTTTCTTTGTCAAAAAGAAATTTTGTCTGACTAGACAGTACTTTTTCTACTTGAATACTAAATCTTAGTTACATGGGAATAATTTATCTATAAATACAAATAGAAGTACAATTTTGCAATAAAACTACTTTTTCTACTTAAAAAGAAAAAAATATTTTGGAGAGTATAGAGTTCTTTAAATAAAAACATTGTCTGACTAAGCAATACTTTCTCTACTTGAAAAGTAAATTTTGATTCTATTCAAGTGATTTATATCTACTTTGTAATTTCAAAAAAATGATTTTTTTACATAAAAAGTAAATATTATTTTGAAATGATAAAATTTATAGGTGAAAATATCCTCGTCTGACCAAAAAGTAAATTTTCTACTTGAAAAATAAATATTACTGCATAAAAAAAAATCATTTAATTAAAAGTGCGATTTCGTAGAAAAATACTGTTTCTACTGGAAAACAAAAAATTATATTCAGAAGTGATTTTTATTAACTGAAAATCAATATTTCAGTCTGACCAAAAAGTACTTGTTCTACTAGAAAAATAAATTTTGACCCCCTTTTGTCAAATTTTAATATTTTATTCGCTAAAACTGCAACCTCGAAATTAAATTAAATTTTATACAGAAAAAGAGAATATTATTTGGGAAAAAATAGATTTTTTTTTGCTTCGAACTTTTTCGTCTGTCCAAACAAAACTTTTTCTACTGGAACAGTAAATTTTAACTCCAGAGAAGTAATTTATTTAGTTGCAAGTAGAATTTCGCAAAATTTACTACATTTTCTACTCAAGACGTGAACATTATTTTTGAGATTGTAGATTTTATTAATTACAAACATTTTTGTCTGACCAAGCAATACTTTTTCTACTTAACGAGTAAATTTTGACTGGATACGAAAAACCCAATGAAAACTTTAATTTTCTAAAAAAAAATACATTTTCCACTGAAAACGAAAAAATTCCTTTCAAAAGTATAGATTTTATTAACTAGAAATAATCTTGTCTGGACAAACAATTCTTTTTCTACTTGGAAAGTGAATTTTAATCCACTGAAAACTAAAATATTATTTTCGAAAGTAGATTTTTGTGACTAAAAAAATTCTTGTCTGACCAAACAGTATTTTATCTACTTAAGGAGTAAATTTTTACTATATAGGAAAAATTCTTTTAGTAAAAACTACGTTTTCGTAATGAAAATACTTTTTCTACTGAAAATAAGAAAGTTACGTTCGATAGTGTAGATTTTATCAACTAAATAAACATTCGTGTCTGACCAAGCAATACTTTTTCTACTTAAAAGTGAATTTTGACTGCACAACCTTAAGCTCATTTATACTTAAAATTAAAAATGTAATTTCTTAATAAAAGTACTTTTTTTTATTAAAAAGGAGAAAGTTATGTTTGAAAAAATAGATTTTATTAACTAAAAACCATCCTGTCTGAACCAACAATTCTTTTTCTACTTAAATTTATTGTAATTTTTCATTTTTATTGAAGTAATTTATCTATAAGTTACAGGGGGAAACAAAAACTATTTTTCCCTCTTGAACAGTTAATTTAATCATACACGGAGAGAAAAATCAAGCGTTTGTAGTAAGACATGGTCTATACTTAAAAAGCACGGCGCTGTTTATACTCGATTTTTAGAAATCTATGCTAAAAGAGCCCAACGGGAAGTTGCCAATATTAACGATTGGTTCAATAATGGGCCATGCTTGGTACCCAATGGTTTTTTCTTGGCAAAACAATTGGCAACCATCATTGGACCACCAATGGTTTAAACTTGGGATGATCACGCTACTGCCAATGATCGATAGCCAAGCATCGGGCCAATATTAGTTGCCAAGAAATTGCCAAGGAAACAAAATCGATTTTCAAAAGCTTGATTTTTTATTCGCAGCCAACAAAAAACCAAGGTTTTGAAAATTGATTTTTTTTAAATTATTAATTAAAATTTATTTTTAAAAAATATATTTTTCAAAAATTTATTTTTTAAAAATATATATTTTTTTAAATTAATAGAACATATTAATTTAATTTGTCACCTCTGGTAAAACAAAGATGAAAGACTGATAAATTCCCTCACTTTATATTTTACAGTGGAGGGATAACTGTGAATGTCTTTGCGAGAGAGGAGCAGGTACTTATATAGAGCCAGTGAAACAGGTCACAAGCGAGAAAAAATCACTAGCATGCACTCTGGCGGCGCTTGTCGGAACTGTTTTCTGGAGCGCATGCATATCGTGGCATTATCGACACAGCGCTTGGCAACCAACGTTGCGCCACTTCCGACAAGCGCCGCCAGAGTGCATGCTAGTGATTTCTTCTCGCTTGTGACCTGTTTCACTGGCTCTATATAAGTACGTGCTCCTCTCTCGCAAAGACATTCACAGTTATCCCTCCACTGTGAGATACGGTGAGGGAATTTTTATCAGTCTTTCACCTTTGTTTTACCAGAGGTGAAAAATTAAATTAATATATTCTATTAATTTAAAAAAATATATATTTTTGAAAAATATATTTTTTTAAAATAAATTTTTCAAAAATATATTTTTTAAAAATAAATTTTAATTAATAATTAAAAAAAATCAATTTTCAAAACCTTGGTTTTTTGTTGGCTGCCAATAAAAAATCAAGCTTTTGAAAATCGATTTTGTATCCTTGGCAATTCCTTGGCAACTAATAATGGCCCGATGCTTGGCTACCGATCATTGGCAGTAGCGTGATCATCCCAAGTTTAAACCATTGGTGGTCCAATGATGGTTGCCATTAATGTTCCAATAATGGAACGGAGTTCGCCAAGCATGGCCCATTATTGAACCAATCGTTTACTTCCCATTGGGAGTAGGGACCTATACTCTTTTAGTAGAGACCTATACTCTTTTAGCATAGATTTCTACAAATCGAGTATAAACAGCGCCGTGCTTTTTAAGTATAGACCATTTCTTACTACAAACGCTTGATTTTTCTCTCCGTGTAGAGAACATACTTTTCCAACCGAGAAATTTTTTTGTCTGACTTAGTTATACTTTTTCTACTTAAACATTTTATTTTTAGAAAATTGAACTTATCTACTTATATAAGTAAAGTTAAGAGAGAAAACTATTTTTTCTACTGAAATAGTGTTCCCGAATATAAAATGTTCGAAGAAAAAATTATTTTGTCTGACTAAACTATACTTTTTCTCCTTAAAAATAAATTTTTATATATCAGTATTAATCTAAGGAATAATTGACTTATGATAATATCTTTTTAATTAAGATTTCTATGTCGAATTCTAGATATTTCGTCAAGAGAATTTTTTTATGGGAAATTTTTTTATTGCTCTATCAATGAAATTACGACTTCAATGTTTTATTATTTTAATTAATTTTCCAAAAACGAAAAAAAAATGCATTTTTGTTTACGAGTTTTTTATTTTCTAAATTTTGCTTTAAAAGTGAATGTTGTTGATTTATAGGGGTCAACCAATTCCGACGGTTGAATATACTCCTGAGGAAATTGCAACATGGGGCACTGTGTTCAGGAAATTGACGGAGCTTTACCCTAAGTATGCCTGTCGAGAGCACAATCATGTTTTCCCTCTCCTTATCGAAAATTGTGGCTACAAGGAAGATAATATCCCACAATTGGAGGATATTTCCAACTTCTTAAAAGGTATTATTTCAGCCAAAATTATATTCCAATTCCATGAAAATTAGTAATAATTTTCTCTGTTTTTGTCTATTTCTAATTTTCAAGCCTCGGATTTTATGACTTTTTCGACTATTTTCAAAAACTGCGACTTTTTTCGACTTATTTTCAAAAATTGGAACTTTTCGACTTTCTTCTAAATATTGCAACAAAATACCACATTTTTAGTAAAAAATGCAACTAATTTCGATTTTTATAATGTGAAAAATAACTATAGACAAATTTTTCAAAATTATATTTTTGAATAATTTTTTACGATAATAAAATTTTACAAAAATATCCTATAATTAAAAAATTTTAGAATAATTGAATTTTTGTAAAATTTAATTGACAAAAGTTTATTTTTTTTACGTATTTTATTACAATTTTTGAAAATGAACTTTTGAATTCTTTAAAAATTTTATTTTATTTTTATTTTTCAAAAATTCTTTTATTTTTAATAGTATTTATCAAATTTCAATTATTATTAATAGATTTTATCAAATTTCAATTATTATTATCATTAGATTTTATCAATTTTCAATTATTATTATTATTAGATTTTATCAAATTTCAATTATTTGGAAATTTTCCAATTGTACATTTAATTAAAATTCTATTATGTTTCAAAAATTTATTTAAAATTTCAAATACATTTTTAAAAAACTAATTTTAAGAATTTCTTCATTAGAATTTTTTGAAAAAAATATTATAGCTTAATAACTTTTTAAAATAAACAATTATTATAAAAAATAGAATTTTTTGAATGAATTTTTGTTTTTAAATAATTGATTTAGAGATGTTTAGTTAAAAATTGTAGAAATAATTGAATTTTGGAAAGACTATAGTTAAATATTTTGTTAACAAAATTATTCAAGGTTTTAATAATTGAATTTAGAAATGAAAAGTTAGAGAAATAAGAAATAAAATTTTTGTGACAACAGTGAATTAAATAAGACGATTTTTTCGACTTTTTTTGTATTTTTAATCGACTAAAGCGACTTTTTTGCGCCTTAAAGTCGATCCGAGGCCTGAATTTTCTATTTCTTTATTTTTTTCTATTTATTCTTCTTTATTATTTATATATTTCTTTTTCTTTTTTATTAAGAAGCAAATTTTTTTAGAATTTTTTTTCTATGATGTATAACTTTTATTTTAACTTTTTTTTTTATGTTATAATAAGTTCTATTTTTATTTTTTATTTTGAGATAAAAAGGGGAAAAAAATAAATAATAAAAAATATTTAAAATTCAGATTGCACGGGATTTACGTTGAGACCAGTTGCCGGTTTGTTGGCTTCTCGTGATTTCTTGGCGGGATTAGCATTTAGGGTGTTCCACAGCACACAATATATAAGGCACGGTAGTAAACCATTCTACACACCGGAACCAGATATTTGTCATGAAGTTCTGGGTCACGTGCCACTATTTGCCGATCCGGCTTTTGCCCAATTCGCCCAAGTTATAGGATTGGCTTCTCTCGGCGCTCCCGATGAATATATTGAGAAATTGGCAACTGTAAGTAATTCGAAAACTATAGCTTCAAATTAAATCCAGAATTTAAGAAAAAATTGAAAATTCAAATTAAATTAAAAATTCAAAGAAAATTTAAAAATTCAAAGAAAAATTTAAAAATTTAAAGAAAAGTAAAAATTAAAAAGAAAATAAATAAATAAAAGAAGGGAATTTTTTTTTTAATATTTTATAAATTAGTAAAATTTATATTCAGTAACAATAGCGGTGTTAATTAAAAAAATATAAGTATAATTATTAATTTTTCTGTTTCAAAATAAAAAAAAAAATATTTTTTCTTTTCAAGTGTTTTTGGTTCACCGTTGAATTTGGCCTCTGCCGGCAAAATGGTGAATTAAAGGCCTATGGTGCCGGTTTATTATCGTCTTTTGGCGAATTGGAATATTCATTAAGTGGAAAACCTGAATTGAGACCTTTTGAACCAGTGAAGACGGCAGTTCAATCGTATCCAATCACTGAATATCAACCAATTTATTTTGTAGCCGAAGACTTTGAGGACGCGAAGGAAAAAATGATGTAAGTCTTATACATTAAATTCTATCTTCAATTTAGAAAAAAAAAATTCGCTAAAAAAATTGTTTCTTATCTAGGAAACTATAGCAATAAATTCAATTTGTTTTTAACATCCGCACCATTGAATTTTTGTTATCGATACAATGTTTCAAATGGTGTTATTCACTTGGTTTGAAAATAACATTTCACAATATATCTTCATAATTCACTTTTCTTTTGTTGGCACATTTACTCGATTATATAGTATAATTAACTTTCGAAATAGATGTTAGATTTATTTTCATCCACTTATCTAACATAAGTACTGCTGCAGTTAATAATATTATAAAAATAATAAAATAAAAAATAAATATAGAATATAATAAAAAAAGACAAAAAATTAAATAACAAAACTTTTGAAATGTCAATAAACGAAAATAATAATTATTATTATTGACAATAAAAATATTTGAAAAATAAAAATAAAAGCCAACAAACAACTTGAAAATTTTTAATTTTAATTTATTAATAATAAAGAAAAAAAATAATAATTATTATTATTGACAATAAAAATATTAAAAAAATAAAAATAAAAGCCTGCAAATGATTCGAAAATTTTTAATAATTAATTACCTGTTTTTATTATTATTATTATTATTATTATTCTAAAAATTATAAGAGTTATAAAAATATTCTACCTGATTTTGAAATTTCAGAAAATTCTCGCAAACAATTCCGCGAAAGTTTGGTGTTCGATATGATCCTTATACTCAGAGCATTAGCATAATTGATAGCAAACATCAAGTGGAGGATTTGGTTCACAATGTTGATCAGGAAGTGCAAATTTTGTTGGATGCGCTCCGAAAATTGAAGAATTGATACGATTCAACGAATTTATTCCTAATGCTCTAATTCACATTTTTCCTTAGAACTTTCGAAAAATGAACTCAAATTAGAAAATAAATATTGTTATTGTAGTTTAAGTCTGTTAATTATAGAATTTGTTACTTAATATTATTTTCAATAAAATAATGTTTAAATAAATACAGAAGTGTGATATGTTTTTAAATTTTAAATTAAACATTTAAAACATTAAATTACATATTTAAGTTACTTCCTTATTTATTTATTTGTTTACTTGTTTATTTATTTACTTACTTATTTATTTCCTTATTTATCTATTTACTTATTTATTTCCATCTTTATTTTTTTGTTTATTTATTTACTTACTTGTTTACTTATTTATTTATTTACTTACTTATTTAATAATTTAATTAGTTATTTAATTATTATTTATTTAATACAGTGAGTTCTTAAACAAATCACAGAAATTATTTTCAAAATAATAAAAAATTTATAAATATGAAGCATAAACGAAAAAGAATAATTGTTTCCCATTAAAGAACAATTTTCCAGAAGTTAAATAAATAAATAAATAAAAAAATAAAGTTTCCCGAAGTGACAAATATTTTTCTCTCGTTTCCGATAAAAAGAGATAAATAAGAAAAAAAAATGAATAACATTCTTGTATTCTGTTCATATACTAATATAATTAATGTCATCTTGATATTTTAATGAATAATTTATGCCAATAATTGTGAAAAATATTTTCTAATTTATTGCAATTAATAATTATTTATTTATTTTTCTAAAAAATCAAAACAGACAATTATTTTTCATTTGATTTTATTTTACATTTTCTTATTCCATATATTATATAATTTACATAATTTAAGATTTGGCACTCGAAGTACAAAAAAAATTTACTAAATTTTCAATTGTTGACTAAATTATAATTAACTAAATTCTACACAAATATAATTATTATCATTTTCTTTTAAAAATATTGAAAATATTTTACAAAAAGTATTTCATAAAAAAAATCTACTATTTTATTTTATATAATAAAATATACCCTGTTTCCGATTAAGTTTTTTCAAAACTTTTTTCTAATTTTTATTTATCACCTTTTTTTATTATAGTTTTTTTTCTATAAATTTTTTAGCAAAAATTCTTTTTTTTATACAAAAATTGATGTTTTTGAATTGATAATTTGCAATTGTGTATTTTTAATTAGTTAAAAAAAATTTTTTCTTGAAAGACGTAGACAGTATACTTAAAAATTTGGACTTTTTTGTACATTTATCATTTGTAAATATATTCTAATTCAATTTATTTATAAAAGTATTCTTAAATTTTTTTTACAATTATATATGATACAGTTGTTCATCTAAATTAAACTATTGAATTTTTTTTTTAATAAAAAATGGAAGATTCAGTGAATTATTAAAATAATAAAAAAAATTGAATCATAAAATATTTAATATACATTTTTCGTATGTCGAAGTAATTATTATCGACGTCTAAACACTTTAGTTTGAACATTTAGCGAGACCGGAAGTTAACATTCTTTAAATTTATTTATTAAATTAAATTTTTATTCAGAACTATATTTACTTAAAATTTTTATATAAATTTTATTTAAAAATTGAATTTAAAAACACTAATAATATTATTGTCGAGGAAAAAATGTAAATTAGTTGATATTATTTGTCTCGTGTATTAAATAAATTACTGTCGATACTCGATAAAGTTGATAGAAAAAAATATTTTTTATATATCTGGTAAAAAATGATAAACCTCTGGTCTAAATATTTTTTTTCGGAGATTTTCAGGTCAACATACATGCATTCACAGCCTACATATTTTTTGAAACTTTCCCTCTTTCTTTTTTTTTTTTTTTTTTTGAAAAATATTAAATATCTATACATAAAAAAATTTTATATTTATGTATTTCCTTTGTAGAAAATATTAAGTGGAATTATTTCCAACATGTCACACTAAACACCACTAGATTTATGGAAATGAAAGTGTTTTTATAAACTTTGAAATTTTTACACTCGTTTCTTTGGAATGTAATAATGCACCCAGAGAAAAATTTTACTTAAATTGCGAATAAAATAAATATTTACTTGAATCAAATAAATTTTATTTAAGTCAAATAAATTTTATTCGAACCAATAATTTTAGTATTTGCTTCAATTACTAAAATTACTGGTCTTAAAATATAAAATTATTAATCAAATAAATTTAATTGACTCAAATAAAAATGATTTGATTCAAGTAAATGTTTATTTATAGAAAAGTAAACGAGAATAAATTTTTTTCAACATTGGTGGTTCTGAGTCAAATATACATCATTTTTCTGGGTGTGCTTTAAACTTTTTTTTCCAGAAAAAAATCACTTAGAAACTGTTTTAATATATATTAATTTTTTTATACTATTTAATACTTTTTATCTGCGTTATCTTTTTTAACACTGATTATACTTTGGAAATGAATGAATGAACCGTGAGTTAGAAAAAACTGAAAAGTCCATCAATATCATGAAGATCTTTGCTGTTGATTGACACTCGAACTCATGTCAGTGTATATTAATTCATTCGATTGACAGAATTGATAGGACATTAGATCTTGATTATCAGAAATTTGTGAATGAGAAGCCAATTGTTGGGGAATTTGTTGATGAGCGGCTTGCATTTGATGAAGTTGTGGATTTCCTTGAGCTTGAGACAACAATTCTCCCATATTATTTGGATCAGTTGTTGTTGAATCTCTGGATACTGGATTTCTAGTTGATTGATTATACAATTCTCGTGGAACAATTGTTTCGGTGTTTATTACACGTGCCAGCGGTTGGTTCACATTGGGATCGTATGGAATGTTTACCTGTTGGTGACAAAATTATTTTTTAATTATAAACATTTTTATGTCCATTATAGAGGTCAAAAAAAGACCTTTTATTGCCTAGAGATCAATAAAGTGCCCATTATTGCCCAAGGGTAATAAAATGCTCATTACAGGCTTCGCACTCGTCTACTAAAATCTTCTATTTACTACTTTTTTATGATTAGCTACTATTTGGATACTTTTTTAAATTTCTGACACTAAAAGCTACTTTTTTCTTTTTTTTTTTTTTTGAAAATTTGCACTACTTTAAATCTGATAATAGTTGAAATAAAAAAATTATTCTTAAAAATTTTCATGAAATTCTTCTCAGAAACAATTCAATTTTTTTTTTACAAAATTCTTTGAATCATTTCAATTATTTTGGAAAATTTTTTGCAAGAATTCAATTATTTTCACAAATAATAAAATTATTCTCTGCATTTCAAATATTTTAAAATTCTATCATTTTATTAAAATTTCTCAAAAGAATTCAATTATTTAAATAAAAATTAATAAAATTGTTCGCAAAAATTCAATTATTTCCAAAGATGTTAATAAAATCTTTTATAACAATTCAATTATTTTTACAAATAGCAAAATTTTTAACGGGGATTTCTCATGATTTAAATTATTTTTAATACTATTTTAAATAGATTCTTTAAAAGAATTTAATTATTTTTAAAAATTTTATTAAAATTCTTCGAAACAATTATTAATTATTAATAAATTATTAATTATTATTAATTATTAATTATTATTTTCACAAATTTTAATAAAATGGTTGGCAAAATTTCAATTATTTAAAAAAAAAATGCCTCAATTCAATTATTTCCAATATCTACTGTTTTAATAAAATTTTCAAAAAGAATTCAATTATTTATACAAAATTTAAATAAGATTCTACGCAAACATTTGATTATTTTCATAAATTATAAGAATTTCACAGAAATTTAATTATTTACCAATTTTTCATAAATTTCTTTGCAATTATTCAATTATATTCATAAGTAATACAATTTTTTACAGGGATTTAATTATTTTCAAAAGTAATAAAATTCTTTTTAGGAATTCAATTATTTTCATAAATAATAAAAATCATCAAAGAATTACAATTATTTTTAAAACAAATTTTATTAAATTATATGAAATAATTGAAATATTCTTTTAAATTTTCATAGAATGATTCAAAAAATTTTATTATTTACAGAAATTTTTTATAAAATCCTTTGCGATAATTCAATTATTTTCATAAATAATAAAATTTTTAACAGGATTTCAATTATTTTTAAAAATAGTACATTTCATTGCAGGAATTCAATTATTTTCAATTCAATTTTAATAAAACTTCACGAAAGAATTCAATCATTTTTTTTTTATTTTTCGAAAGAATTCAATTATTTTCATAAATAATATTCTTCAGAAGAATTCAATTATTTTTAAATAATAGTAAAATTCTTTACAGGAATACAATTATTTTTAATACAATTTTAATAGAATTTCACAAAAAGATTTAATTATTTACAGAAATTTTAATAAAATCCTTTGCGATAATTCAATTATTTTCATAAATAATAAAATTCTTAACAGGATTTCAATTATTTTTAAAAATAGTACATTTCATTGCAGGAATTCAATTATTTTCAATTCAATTTTAATAAAACTTCACGAAAGAATTCAATCATTTTTTTTTAATTTTTCGAAAGAATTCAATTATTTTCATAAATAATATTCTTCAGAAGAATTCAATTATTTTTAAATAATAGTAAAATTCTTTACAGGAATACAATTATTTTTAATACAATTTTAATAGAATTTCACAAAAAGATTTAATTATTTACAGAAATTTTAATAAAATCCTTTGCGATAATTCAATTATTTTCATAAATAATAAAATTCTTAACAGGATTTCAATTATTTTTAAAAATAGTACATTTCATTGCAGGAATTCAATTATTTTCAATTCAATTTTAATAAAACTTCACGAAAGAATTCAATCATTTTTTTTTAATTTTTCGAAAGAATTCAATTATTTTCATAAATAATATTCTTCAGAAGAATTCAATTATTTTTAAATAATAGTAAAATTCTTTACAGGAATACAATTATTTTTAATACAATTTTAATAGAATTTCACAAAAAGATTTAGTTATTTACAGAAATTTTAATAAAATCCTTTGCAAGAATTCAATTATTTTCATATAAATAATAAAATTCTTCACAGGATTTCAATTATTTTTAAAAATAGTAAAATTCTTTGCAGGAATTCAATTATTTTTAATACAATTTTAATAGAACTTCACGAGAGGATTCAATTATGTTTTAAAAATTTTTCATAAAATTTTCGAAAGAATTCAATTATTTTCTAAAATTTTAATAAAATCGAAACAATTAAATTATTTTCAAAAATAAAAACATTCTTCGATAAAAATTCTCGTAAAACTTTCTAAAAAGAATTGATTTAAAATTAAATGTTGAACTTTCTAATAAAAATTGATTTAAAAATAAATTTCAGTTTAAATTTTATATTATAATCGAACATTAAAAACATAGCGTGGATTTTTATAAGAATAGATAAATTGCAAAAAGTTTTTACATTAAAATTATTAAAAATTGTAATTCCTATGGAAAAATAATCAAGTGTTTATATATTTATTAAACAAACATTATTCATAAATAATTTAGTTTAGAAATTATGAAAAAAATTAGTCTTGAAAATTTTTAATTAAAATTTTTCAAATATACAGCTAAATTCTCGTAAAAAATTAAAAATATTTATTTATATTTACAATTTATTTGAATTTAATTTATTATTCAATGAATTTATTTGTTGTATTTATTTGAATTAATACAAGTTTTATATTTTTCAAAATTTATTTTTTTAACTTTTAAACAGTAGTTTTAAATATAATCGATGTTTTGAAGAATTCTAACCGAAAGTTTGGAAAATAATTGAATTTCATACAAAATTTAGAATTGAAATTAAGGACTAGAAAGAAAGTAGATATTTTTTTTATGGAAAATGTCACTGAAATACAGAATCAAATTTTGCCAATTTTTCTGAATCGACTAAAACGAGTTTTCAAATTTAATTTTTCGACAGATACTTTTTACTACTTTTTTCAATTTTAAAACTACTCTTTGCTACTTTAACCATAATTAATCGGTTATTGGAATTAAATAAATTTTTTTTTTAGTGTGATAAAGAAAAATTAAGAACATTTTTTTGTTATGTTTGGTTTGATGAACAGAAAAAACCTTACGTTTATAATTGGTGAAAAGATGCCGTACTTGGCGATAAGCAACTTTTCGGAAACTTTCCTAAGTTCCTCCTGTTGATAGACAATTAGTTGTTGGAGTTCCTCATGCTTTCGTTGCAACTCATCTTGAATATGATTTTGCGCCGGTGTCATCACTATTCCCTGTTGTAAAATCTGTAAAAATAGGTTTGGAATGTGTTCATTATAACCCAGAGGTCAATAAAGTGACCATTATTGCCCCCAAGGGCAATAATGTTCTCTTTATTGATCTCTGGGTTATACTTTCTTGCTGTTCAAATTTATTTGTTAAAAGTGCCCATTATTGCCCAAGGGCAATAATGGTCACTTTACCTCTGGGTTATACTTTCCGGCTATTCAAATCTATTTGTTCAATTGCCCATAAGAGGTCAATAAAGTATTATTTTTGCCCTCGGGCAATAATGCTTACTTTATAAAAATAGATTCCGAACGAAAAAAGGTCCCTCTTTTAGTTCGGAATCTATTTTTATTTTAATTTTAATTTAATGCAGCGATTTATTTTTTTTGAAGTTTCAAATTTCGGTTCCTTACTTCGGTTGATGGTAATGATGTATTTAAAGGAATGGACGATTGACCACAACTTTCGGCCACTATGGATTGTAGTGGAACAGCTGTATATTGAGTGGGTTCCAAAAAACTAATGCACGTCTCTTCGATTTTCGGCTCCAATGACTGATCCATTATGATTGTGGTGGGAATTGTTAACGATGAGGCTGTACTCGTTGCTGGGACAATTTTCGACTTTGAACCTTGAGTGGCCGCATAGGAATGCTTTGTATTCGATTGAGAGTATTGAGAACCACCAGAAACGGACGTTGTGTCTGATTCTCGTTCCTGATATCTTGGCTTAAATGGTTTTGAAAATGATTTTGAACTCTTGGTTTGTTTCGATGACCAGGCTGATGATCGAATTTGACACGCACTTGGGGACTGAAAATTATTGACAGCTAATTATAATTACATTCTCATTTTTTTGGTACTATTACTGCACAAAATTAGGTATTCATTAAGTATCTTCTTTTTTTTCTTTTTTTTTACTTCTTTTTGTAGTTAAAGGAAGTGAATTTATCATTCTACCTTTAATTTATTTGTAGTGTTGATAATAAATTAATGTTTGAAAGTAGAAGAAGAAGGAATAAAAGAAGAAAAAAAAGAAAAAGTAGAAGAAGAAGAAATAGAAAAAGAAGAAGATGGAGAAAAATATAAGAATGTATTACATGTTTGTTGGATGACATAATATCATCTTGATTTTGCACTTTCGCTTGATCGTCGATATTTTTTCTGGTATGCTTTAGCACATCGACGTAACTCAGAACACGATGCGTGCAAACGATAAATTCTGGTTTTGAATTCCATTGATTGTATGTTATGTAAAATCGGGTTTGCAGCCAAATCCATTGTTGTCCTTTCGTGAGAAACCTATAGTGACACGAAGTTCCTTCTCCTTTCTGCATCACTACAAAAACAATTTTTTTATTTTCCTCTATAAAATTTTTTTTCCCCTAAATAATAATTTTTAATGTTTTCTGTAACAAATCTTATATTTAAATCTTTAATTCTTTCCTTTGCAATCGATTACCAAAAAAATTAACATTACAAAGGAGAAAATTAAAGATTAACATTCACACTTTTCTTGAAAGTATCAATCTGTAATAATTCTTATTTAAATCTTTAATTGTTTCCTATTTAATTTAATAATTAATTAGAATAATTTATTTACATGACTCGTGGCAAGTGACGACCTTATCTAAATCATCAATATGATAGTAGTCATAACCGGAAGTGCCGAGAACCTCGAAGGGTAGGTAGCCAATAATTGGAGGGGCTCTGTGATCCAAAAACAAAAATTTCCACTCTAAACTGTGCCTTGAGGTGAATTCCGATTTCGAGCTGTCGACAGCCGACATTTCTCGAATTGATTGGGGAGTTTGAAGTCTTCCGGTCCCGACAAAAACTAATCTGAAAAAAAATATTTATTTATTCTCATTAGACAAATAATTATATGCAGAAAATTTCTTTCGCATCAAGAAATAAGAGAAAAATTACGATTCTGTTTTTGGATCACTTCCTGTACTGCTACTAAGTCGATTTGTTGGTATTATGGTGTCAATTTCCGGATCCATGTCAGAACCTAAAAATACAAATTGTAATTATAATTATAATATAAATAATATAAATAAAATATAATATCAAAAATACTAACAACTTTTTTTATTTTTTAAATATTAAAATTGAAAAATATCAAAAGTACTAAAAATACTAAAAATACTAAAAAATACTAAAAATACTAAAAATACTGAAAATACTAACGAAAATAGCCAATGAACTGTACAAGTTCATATATAGAATCGCCAACGTAATCGAAACCACCCCTCTTTATATGGCACGTAAAAGAAATTTGATTATCTGCAAACAGAAAAGAGCAAATTATTATTATTTTTTTTTTATTTTCTGAAAGTAAATTTATTTATTTTTCTGAAGTAAAAGAAAAGTGAAAAAATAACTTTTTTTTATACCTTTTTTAGTACTTCGTTGATCTCTCAAATTTTCGGGATTAAGTAACAAATTATAAAGATGCGATTGATCGTCTTGATATGCAATTTCGTAAATAGTGGAATTTGTCAATTCATTGGGTAAATAACCAAGCAGAGACGTGACACTTTCTGATGTATAATAAATGCGTCCACTTGATGAAAAAACAATTATAAATCCATCTAATGCCTAAAAAAAAATAAAATTCCAATTTTTTGCTTTTTAAATATTAAATTCTAAATAATAAATCAAAATTTTTTTAAAATTTGGTAATTATGCAGAATTCTTATGCATAATTAACCAATTTTTCCTTTTAAATATTAAATTCTAAATGATAATCCAAATTTTAAAAAAAATTTTCATAATTATGCAGAATTATTTATATTTAGAATTAACAAAAAAAAAAAAAAAAAAATTAAACAAAAATTTAAAACTTTTAAAATAAAAAATTAATTTTAATTTTTTTAATTTTTACCTCTAATATTAAATGAGTGAATTCTTCGTTAGATAGAAAAGAAGGTTTCCAATCTTCTTGAATCTCGTGAATTCTCGATTTAGTCGCTTTTTCTAGAATAATAATTAAAAATTACTTTCGAAATTTCGGAAAAATTAATATTTAACAGTAATAATAATTTTAAAAATACTAATCTAAACAGACCATTGTGATTTTTGAGGAATAAAATTGTTGACTTCAATACTGTTGATTTATCCATTTTTCTCGTGTGGGTATTTACCATACTACCAAGTTCATTAACCAACATATTAAATTGGTCCCTCCTCTTTTTTTCACTCAAATTTCGAGATTTTCTGCAAAATTTTTCAATTCTTTAATCAATTTTTTTTTTTGTTTTCAAATTTATTTTTAAGTAAAACAATAATTTTTATCTCAACATTATTTTTTTTTCATTTCATTTTTTTCCATTAATAATAAGTAAAAATAATTATTAAAATTAATAATAAGTATAAACTTTTCCATTCAATTTTATTCGTTAGAAGTTTTTTATTCAATTTTCTTCACTTTATTTTTTATATCTATTCAATTCTTGCAACTCATTTTTTTAATTCACTTTTTTTAATTCTTTTTTTCATTTATTTGTGGATTTATTTATTTAAGAAACTGGAATTAAAACTAAAATTTATTTAATTTTTGTTAACTTAATAATTTTTTTTCAATTTTTTCCATTCATTTTTTCATTCACTTTTTTAAATTCTTTTTTAAAATTTTTTTAAAAATTTTTTTGTTTATTTATTTAACAAACTATAAGGACTAAAACTAAAATTTATTTAACTTGCGTTAACTGAATTCTTTTTATTTAATTTTTTTGTACTATTTTCAACTCTATTTTTTCATTTATTTATTTACTTAACAATTTGTCAATTTGTTTTGTTTTCAAATTTATTTTAAATTAAAACAGGAATAGTAAACTTATATTTTATTTATTTAATTTAATAATAATAAACAGTATTAATAAGTATAATATTAAAAATAATAAAAATAATAATTATTATAACAAATATAATAATAATTTAACAATAAATTAATTAGCTTTATTATAATGAAGGATATTATTTTAATTTAACTTATTTGAATTAAAAGATTTTAAATATTTATTATTCGAAAATTCCGTAAAACTAAAAACTATTGATCTCTTCTTTTGGTTTTAGAAAAAATTGATAAAATTAACTTTCAAATACCTTTTTGTATCGTCTTTTTCATCATTGTCGTCATCAATCGCTTCACTGAAATTATTATAATTTTTTTTAACTATAAAATATAATTATTCTTTTAAAAAAGTATATTTTTGAATATTTTTCCACTGTCTTCACTAAAAGCTTCTAATGAAGTTGAAACAATAAACAATATTACGTACCATACAATTGATACATTGAAAAAAAATAAATTTGCAATTTTTATATTTTGAGGTATTAAGGGCAGGAAAAATAAAAAAATATTTCTTGATCAACTTTTTCTATTTCAAATGTTTAAATAATTTTAATGAGCAAATATTATTTCTTCTTCTTTTTTTTGCAAAAAATTACTCACTCGGATTGACGAGCAGTAGATTCACTATGTCCGTAACTCGCCATTGCACGGTGTGTACTTATTGTATGAAATGCGCACACTCAGAAGTTGTGTATTACATTCAGCGTTCGCCGATCAATTATTGTCCGTGTATGCATTCAATTACGAGAGAGAAACGGATTGCGTTAAATTAGACGAATTTTCCATTTTCTTTTTCACATTTGGAATATTTTTTCATTTTATTATTCTTCTTTGATTTTTTTATTTGAGGGGAGAGGGGAAATTTAAGATGGTGTTGTAAATTAATGATAGTTGAGAAAACACTCGGGGAAATGCATTTCGATATGTTGCAGTTTGAGAAAGGATTTGTTTGCAGCTATAGACTCGCGGACGATACTGCAGCGCTAGAACACTTTTCTCTATTCATTCTTGCGAACATATTATTTCTAAAAGTTACTAGACGTCTGGTAATTTTCATCTCAATATCATTTCATTTTTTTTTATTATTTTCAATTTTTCTTTTCAATTTTTTCTTTTAAAAGTTTAAATTCAATTTTTCATTCAATTTTTCTTGTTTGAACTTTTTTATTCAATTTTCTTCATTACATTTTTTATTCAATTTTTTCAATTCTTTTTTACATTCTTTTTTTTCTTTTATTTATTTTTTTATTTATTTATTTAACAAAATATATGGATTAAAACTAAAATTATTTAATTTTTGTTAACTTACTTCTTTTTATTCAATTTATTCAATTCGTTTTTTTTCATTCACTTTTTCCAATTCATTTTTTTCATTCAATTTTTTCAATTCATTATTTTTATTCACTTTTTTTACTTCTTTCTTTCTTTTTTTTTATTTATTTATTTAACAAACTATGTGGATTAAGATTAACACTAAATTATATTTAATTTTTATTAACTTAATTCTTTTTATTCAATTTTTTCAATTCATATTTTTCGTTCACTGTTTTATTTTTTTTTCATTTTTTTTTTGTTTATTTATTTAACAAACTATATGGACGAAAAATAAAATTTATTTCATTTTTGTTAACTGAATTCTGTTTATTCATTATTTTTTATTTCTTTTTCTGCAATTTATTTTTTTCATTCAATTCTTTTAATTTATTTATTTAACAAATTATACTCAATTAAAACTGGAATTCCTTCACTTTTTGTGAACTTAATTCTTTTAATTAAATCTTTTTTAATTAAGTTTTTTTTTTATTTTGACAAATTTTACTCAAACAGGATTTTATCTTTTAAAAAATGTTTACAAAAAAAAATTTAATCTAATTTAAAATTGAGAGTTTTTAATTGCAAATTGTACGTTGAAATTGAAAATTCCAATTTCAATTGCAAATTCTAGTTGCAAATTTTAAAGATCATTTGGAAAATGAATATTCGATAGTTCTTTAATAATTTCACTATCATCTTCATTTTTTATTCTAAAACTTGATGCTCGAAATTTTCCCCCAGCATCAAGTATTTTACCCAAGGATTTTCGATAATTTTCACTCAATGAAGAATTATTGGGAAAATTTTTCGATCTAAAGAGTGGAAAATTCGAAACTCGATTCATACTCTTCATTAAATCGTCTCGTGCCTTGAGATAATTTTCATTCAAACGTTCCATCTCCTCATCACTTGAAATTTCATCATCTTTCTTCATTTCTTCAAAAACTTTTTTTCTTCTTTCTTCATTTGTTGAATTCTTTGAAATTTCATTTCTCAAATTCTTCGATTTGGGAGAAAAATTTCCTGAATCTCCAGACGATTTTTTATCATCTAATACACTGAAATCGTAATTAAATATACTCCTTGGACTTTTCATTTTTTTGAGATTCTCTTCAATTAGAGAACTTATTGCACTATTGTGTTTGTATTTAGAGAAATTATCTTCAGGATCTGATTTTAAATTAGTAGCAGTGTTCCTCTTCTCATTTTCTTTTTTCTGATTTATTGAAGGTGTCAACTTTTTATTTCTCGTTTGGTTATTAGTTTGGTTTGATTTTAAGTTTTTATTTACGTTGCTTGTTTTCAATTTTATATTTTCAGAAGGTGACTCTGGATTTACAGTTTTTAGATTTTTGACAAAAATTGGTTTTTGGGGGATATTTTTATTTGCTCTCAATTCCATCTTAGTTCGATTTGAAATTTTCATATCGCCAGCACTTGCGGATGTGATTCTCTTTACTTGAGTCTGTTTATTTTCCGAATCTTTTTTTGAAAAAATTTTCTTTTCCAAATTTTGCACAACAACATTGGGTGCAGAATTTTTCGTTGTATTTTGATTTTTTTTAATTTGCTTCGACGAATTTATTCGTTCACTTCTTTTTTGTTCAGCTTCACAAGACTGGAAGGAAAAAAAATTGTTTCTATAGTTTTACAATTTATTTCTGTAAATATTTTTGATATTTTAAAAAAGTTTAAAAATTTCTTTGTAGTTTTAGAAAAGTTCTTAAATTTTGTTGATGTTTTAAAAACGTTTTTAAATTTGTGTGAAGTTTTAAAAATATTTAAAAATTTTTTTGATGTTTTAAAAACGTTTTTAAATTTTCTTTAAGGTTTTAAAAATATTTTTAAATTTTTTTGATTTTTTTGATTTTTTAAAAACGGTTTTTAATTTGTGTGAAGTTTGAAAAATATTTTTAAATACCAAATTGGGTGAAAAAAGTTTTTAAAAAAATTCTTTCTTCTCACCTTTCGATTTTTCATTGTTCCTTGTAATTGCTTTTCTTTTAATAATCGTTTCCAACCTGAAGTCGTGGCAATTTTTCTATCTTCAGGACTAATTTTTGAACCTTTTAACATTTTGTACTTCAATTCCCAAACAGTGTCGTTGTCAAAGACCTGATTTTTTTTAAATAATAAAAATTTATACAATTTTAAAAAATTTCTTAACGATTAAAAATTTCTATAACAGTAAATTAATAATTATTTTAAATATTATAATTATTACAATTATTTTACCTCTTTAGAAACTTGAGATAATGTTGACAAATTTAAAATGTCTTTAACTCTTAAATAATTCGCTATTTTCGCAATAATATTTCTTGGCAATGTTAAAAGCGATAATTTTCTTTCTGATATATTTTTCATGTGTTCCAGTAAATGGTTGCCTAGTTATTATTTAATAATTGTTTTAAAATTTTATAATTAAAATTTTATAAAAATAAAATTATATAAAAACAAAATTTTATAAAATTAAAATTTTATAAAATTAAAATTTTATAAAAATAAAATTTTATAAAATTAAAATTTTAACAATTTTAATTGTTATTACTTTACAGGAAAAAATTTTACTATTACTAATAGAAAAGAAGATTAGTTTCAGAGGATAGAATTTTAACAAAAAATGTAAAAAAATCTCGTTTGGAAAAATTATAAAATAAAAAAAAAGTACCAAAAATTCGTTGAATTTCGTCTTGTGAGCTTTTATCTGAAGCAAATTCGGAAAATTTCAAAACTCGTATTATGGGTGTTCTATGCGGTCCATGTGATATTTTCCATAAAAAAATTATTATCTACGAAAAAATTAAGTAACAGTTTTTTCATAATAGTGATTAAAAATTTTTTTTTTAATTTCACTCAACACTTAAATAAGTTTATAAATTTTTATAATACCTCATCACAGAGAACTTTAATGCCATAATAATCACGATTTGGAGAAGGTGCCACTTGATATTTTTCAAAATATTCCACTTTTTTGTTCATACTAAAATTGCAATTTTTTTATTCAGAATATAATTTTTTGCAATTAATTTCCCAATTAATAATAAAGTAAACATTACCAGAAAATCTTTTGAAAATCTATACAATTTAGTTTGATTTACTTTCAGTTGGTTTTAGTATGAAGTTTGATATAAATATATTTTTTCTTTTATTTTTCCTTTAATTTCTCTTAACCTAAATTTTTTTGTAACATTCTTAAAAATTTTTTTTTTTTATTTATTTTTTATTTTATTTTAAAATTTAAATAAATTAAGTAAAAATTTTAATTAAATTTTGTAAATGAAACTTTTCTTTTGTAAAAAATTTTTTAAGAGAGAGAGAGAGAGAGAAAAAAAATTATTCTCTCGTGGATTGAGAAAAAAAACATCTTAATGTTACTTTTCGTAAATTTTATTATACAATAATTAGATATGAGGAAATGGAGATAAATATAAGAAAACTGTTGAAGTAGAAATGGAAAGTCGAATGGCATCTTACAGTAATAGTAATCAATATTATACAAAGTAAGCTACACAGTAATATCACAATGCATGATTTATATAAGTTTTTTTTTCTCTTAAAAGTGTTTGAGAATCGACACATTCAAAAAAAAAGAGTTGTCTAAACATACCAACTTCTCACATTCACAATCATATATATATTTAGATAAAAATTTTTCTAAATTCCTCTAATCAAGCTAATTATCGAAAAATATTGATATTTTTTCGCATTTAGAAACAGAATTAATCTCCATTCGAGAGAAAGAGTGCAAATCATTGAAAATGATTCAAAAACTAATTCCATGTAAAGAATATTTTTTTCTATTTTATTTTTATTTTTGCTTATTTTTTTCTTTTTTTTTTCTTTTTCATTTCTTAAGAAAACAAACAATACATTCTTTTTCCCTCGAATGAAATTTCAATTCTAATATTTCGCACATCAACATATATTTATTTATATATATTTTTTTATCACGACGATTAGACAACCCCTGAAAAATAATCGAATCATTCCTTTCTCCCTTTTCATTGTTTTTTTTTTAGCGAGAACGTCAAAATGGAAAAATTTTCGTTTCTTTTGCAATATTATATTATAATAGAAAAAAAAGAAAAAAAAATTGGTGGAAATAATTGTGTATCGTATATCGACATGTTTATTTTATAATATAGTAAAAAAGCCATATATATATTATTTTTTGTTGTTATAATAATAACAACAATAACAATAGTAAAATAATATATGCAAATTGTGTATAACTATAGTTTTGTCTCATCTTGTACATACTAAACTGTATGTTGCTTATGATTGATATGAAATTTCTAGAAGTTTACTACAAGTGTTTGAATATTTTTAAAAAATTTTCACTTGATATGTATTTACTGTTCAAAATTGTTTGATCACTTTCTGTCTTTCTTCTTTTTTTTTCTTCATAATTACGAAATTAATCCAACAATTTCGACAAATAGAAAATTTCATTTTTTAATGAAATTCCATTTAAATCAAAAATTTCAAAATCGAATCAAATTACATCAAATCAAAAAGATTCGAAAATATTACATTAAGAAATTTAACAACTTTACTAAAAATTGATAAATAATTTTTAATTTTCCATTTTGTTTTTATTTTTAGGATGTTAAACATTTCAATAAAGACATTTTTTCTCAAGATAGTATTTTGTTTACTCAAAAATTTAGTACATTTTGTGTAAAAATTGTTTAAAATTATTTTGTGTAAAATAATTTTACTTCAAAATTTTATTTCAAAAATTCTTTTCAAAATTTCGTTATTTAAAATAGTTTTTTTCGACTTTTTTTCAAGAATGAACAGTTTCAATTCCACGATAACTAATAAATTAATTATGACAATATTTTATTATAATATTAAAAAAAAAAAAAAAAAAAAAAAAAAAAAAAAAAAAATATTATAATATTATTATAACAAAACTATAACAAGTTTAAGTAAACATACTAATTGAGAAATAACAGCAACAGTAATGTATAACAAACATATACACCAATTCTAATATTTAAACACTCAAATTTTTTCTATTTAAAAATTACTTTTCTTCAATTATTCTCCAAAGTATTTTTTATTCATTTAATTTAATTTTTTTTACTTGTTTAATTGTCATGGTAAACTTAATGAAACTGAAACTGTCATTCTTTTAATTTAAAAAATTTTATGTTGGTATTAAAAAAAAAATAAGTTTCATCTTTAAAAAAAAATTTAATATTTTAAATTTAAGTAATTAACTATTATTAAATTTGAGTAATTATTATTTAAATATATTTAACTTTAAAATTTAATTTTCAAAAATTATCTGGATGCCAGTTTCAGCTTCACGTAAACTTAAAAAATATATCAAACGAAATTTCAAAAAATATTCATGTGTCAGTAAGATTGATCGATTATCAATAATAATAATCGTGATGATTTTTTGTTTTTAAAAGACATGAAAATAAATTACTATATGCTAGCGTAGTTTTGCGAGTAGTCTTATCAGTGACGCCTTAAACATTATTGTGAGAGTTATATAAAAAATGATGAATTATTTGCGCTGCGTTTTTTTTTTATCAAGAAACTTTCAGACATTCCATAAAATATCTTTTTATAATATTTTTGTTTGAAAATAGTTCGAATGTGTAAAAAAAACAACTTTCATACAACTTTTATTCACAATTTTTTTTCTAGATTCATTTAGAAACACACACGTGTTTTTTTTTTTCGTAGAATGTGATCAGTAAATAATTTGCTCCCCATGGATTTCGGTGTCAATATGTGACGCTCTACGGTGAACGAAGCAAATTTATTCAAAATAAAAAATTTTTAAAAAAATGTTTTAAAATTTAAAAAAAATTTTTTTTAAATTTTTGTTTATTTTCTTTAATTTTTAAGTTTATAACAAAAAAAGAGGACTAAATATCAGTACCTACAATTATCATAATCAGAAATTAATTTCTATTTCTTTCAAAATATTCGAAGAAAAATTATTTTTTATTTTAAAAATAAAAAAAATTTCCATGAAGGTAAAAACTAAAATTTGTTTTTTACCCCTTTTACAGTGGAGAGTCACATATTTTTATTATTTTAATAAGAAAGATTTTTAATTATTTGTTTTCTTCAAATTACTGGGAGAAATGGAATATTTTGTTTTCGAAAAAATGTCCCTTGGATGAACGAATTGAAATTGAGCATTCACATTGTGATTAGAGAATTTAATTACTTTTCCTAACAATCGGAGACTTTTAACTTTAACCGAATTATTAACATTAGATAAAATATCAATATAATCGATAAAGTTTCTCGAAAATGCGTTCATCCAATTTCTCGCAATAATTTGCTGCAGTTGAAAAATTGAAAATAGATGAAAATTTAATTGTTAAACAATATGGTTTCGAATTTTATTCAGAGATATTTAGACTTTAAATCGAACTGAGAAAACTATTTGAATCTTTTTTTTTTGTTTTAATCGAATTTAACATATCTTTGCTAAGTCATATTTTTCATTCATTTAAAAAAATGGAAATTGAAAATTAAAAAAAATGTTTCAAACCTAAATTATAGTTGAACTGACTATTAACAAATATTAACAAAAAATAAAAAAAGGTTCTAAAATTTTCTGTTTGAATTCCAATTGTTTTCCCAGTGCGAACATGGTAGAGATGACCGAATACTGAACGAGAGCAAAGATACATTTTATTAACAATTTATTAAATTATATTCAGTACTTTATTGTCATTGAACACTAATTTTTCTTGTGAGCTTCATTGGTTCTGTTTGGCGTCTACTATTGTCTCCCCCAGTGTTCGGACACATATACAATTATAAATTATGAATATTATGAATATTATTGAAATAGAAATTGTATTTCGAAAATTATTCAAAAGAGGAAATTCATAAGCGCTTTTAATGCCAAGTTTTTTATAGTTTCAATAGTTTTTTTTATAGAGAAGAAATTATTAAAGAGAATAAGGAAGATATAAATGTGAAATGTGTGCATTTTTACTTATAAAAGATTGATCAGACTTTGTTGAGGAAAATTGTTTTGAGATATTAATATAGAAAATAACGAAGAAGATCGTATTATAGGCCAATCCTAGGACTGTTGAACCATTGAGATGGGATTTTGATTAATTGAATCATCATCGTCATCTCTGCAGATACTGGTGGATGTTGTTGTTTCTTCGGATGTTGCCGGAGTCACTGTGAATTGTCTCTGTTCCATATGATCGAGAGTTTTTTCAATTGCCCTCAATCGTTTCTCAAGACTCGTCGTACCAAGTATTCCAACTTGTAATTGGGGTCCTAATGGCAGAATGGCTAATAACCACCAGGACCAGGATGGTCCATCCGGTAGGCACAGCCAATCTTCTTCCGTCTCTGGCATTCTTCCAAAAACTCGTTGGATCTCCGATTGTTGACTCAATGGCACCGTGTCCCACCATCTTCTACTTTTCGTTTGAACCTGAACCACAAAAAAAAGCAGAAGATTAACTTTTGAAACCTTAACATTTTTGAAGAGTTGTATTAGACTCTTTTGGGGTCCTTATGTTGAACATAGCAGAAGAGTACAAAGGTTGTGTCCACAATAGGCTCTTTTTGAGTCCTTATGTTGATTTAAACATAAAAACAAAAAGACCATGTCAAAAATAGGCTATTTTTATGTCCTCGTGATGAACGTAACGTAAGGATACCAAAAGATGAACATAAGAACCAAAGACAAAAAAAAACTTTTGAAACTTTAACCATTTTGAACCATATATAGGGACATAAAAAGAGCCTATTGTGGACATAGGTTCGAGGTTGACCCAAACTACAACAATAGGACAATGTAGAACAAATCCGTACCTTATCGTGAAGTTCCAGAAGATTGAGCACTTGATCAGGCTGGACCGGCGAGTCCCTGATAAATTCCACTTGGGCTGTATCGTAACCGTCCTTCTCTCCTCCGGACAGGACCCTAAATCGTCTACCACCCACTGTGCTTAAAATACTACATCCGTCTTTCAATAGGACTCGGTCCCTGATTTCTAGCATGGTCCCAAATTCAGCATATCTAAAGAAAAGGCCATTAGTTTTGCGACCACAACTTTTTGACTACTTTTTGATTACTTTTGGGTACTTTTGATAACTTTTGATTACTTTTAAAGACTTTTGATTACTTCTGATAATTTTTGATTACTTTTGAAGACTTTTAATTACTTTTTTGTCCTAGCTGCACGAAAAGTATGTCATTTTGGGCACTTAAAGTGGGCGCAAAGTAACTGATTCTCGCCCGGGGCCGGGGAAGCGGGCGCAAAAGTTCTTTTACGCCCGCTGACGTCACACAAGCGGGCGCAAAAGTACTTTTGCGCCCGCTTCATCTAGCCCGAGCGGGCGCAAAAGTACTTTTACGCCCGCTTGCTGTACTTTTGCGCCCGCTTCGCTCGTGCCCTCAATGCCATACTTTTCATGCAGTTAGGACAAAAAATTATGTTCGCAACATGGGCGCAAAGGTGATTACGACTTTGGCGAGATTTCGGGACCTCGGGGACACTTTCGCACCCTCGGCTTCGCCTCGGGCGCGAAAATGTCCCCTCGGTCCCTTCATCTCGCCATCGCCGCAATCACCTATTTTGCGCCCTTGATACGATAATAACTATTGAAGACTTTTGAAGACTTTCGATAACTTTTGATTACTTTTTGATTATGATAGGCAAAAAATGTGATTATTATGAGGAATGTTTGTTTACCGTTTGGCACCAGTTGCTTCTCTATTGAGACACGCCGAGATGCCAAATTGTCGAACACCACTCTCGACGCATCGTCTCACCATCAGTCTGTACCTCGGTTCGTATACAAAAAGGGGACAGGCAACGCATGGGAATGATGTTGTGCAGATAAAAACGGCAATCTCCTCACTACCAAGAAGACCGAGGCCTTGAACTAACTCGTGTCGATGACTCGCCGCCCTCGTGCTGTACTCCTTCGGCGCCACAATCTTCAAAGCTCTCTCCACAAAGTCAGTTACAGTCTTTTGGCTAGTCGCCAGATACTGGAATGCGAAAAAAAGGGCCATGGATTGATTGCGTCTGAAATTGTGCTTTGCAGTCATTGGGGTAACAAAAAAAATTAACTGACCTAATTCACTGACATTCACTTCATTTACTTTATTTACTTATACTCTATAGTTGTATGTTCTCTCAACTATAACTTAATGTTGTATGCATTCTCAACTCTAAATTGTAGTTGTAATTTCCAACTATAACTTAGAGTTGTATGCATTTCCAATTGTTATACAGTTAGTAGAACACAATTTTCTTGAAAGTATCAAATGGATATTAGAGATCAAACTAATGCCACAAAATTAGATCAATTTTTTATTTGCTCCAGATTTTTGGTATCAATTCGTTACAATTTGATACTATTAAGTTAACAGTAAAAGAAAATTTGTTTTCCTACTTACGTCAGAGAGAGAAGTGATACAAAGAGGGCAAGAGGAGGAATAATCTAGGCAACGGTCTAAACACATCCAACAGTAAGTGTGTCCGCATGATGTCGTGACAGGTTTCCATAAAAGTCTGCAGCAGAGAATGCAGTCCAATTCACCGGTTGTTCCACCAGATAGAGGAGGTAGAAGAATTTCCGCAGGTCTCAATTCCATTCCTAAAAAATTATGCAATCTTTAAATTCTTCTTCTGTTTCAAGAAACAGTCTTTTCTATTACTCAATTCTAATTACTAAACTAATTCTAAATTCCAATTTACTGCTATTAATCATTTACCTTCTTACTTGTAACTTGTAAGTAAGAAGGTCACGGTTAAGACACCAAAAAATTCGGTAGCATTTTTTTCTTTTGGTGCTAAAAATAATACCGATTAATTGTTGTACTATTTTTTCGAAACGTTAATTTTCGATTTTGTCTGCACAAATTTTTGTCTCACAAATACGATTTATATTCTTCTGGAGAAAATTCAACTCACTTTTCAGTTTCTCGATTTCTTGGTATACCCTGTTTATGGATGTATGCAATTTGGCACTATCCTGTGGCATCATGTTCGACAAAGGTGTCCTACAGATCATCTGTAACATATTAGGAAGTTTTAGCAACAAAAGAAATGGAAGTACCAAAAATGATTGTCAGTCAAAAACGATATTATTTTACATATTGGATAAAAAATTCGAAATTTAAAATAAATAAAAAAAAATTAATAAAAATTAAGGTTCGTAAATCTTTGGGAGCTTTTTCTTCAATTAGGAGATGTACTGACTACCGGATGTGCTAATGCTTCTTTTTGCTGGTGCATCACATAAAGTATGCCAGGCACTAGAGTCTTTTATTGTCTTCTTTTGGTTCTTTAATACCTCACAAAACTTTAGCATCCTGCGGTCTACTTCTACCTTGTTCTACTTCTTCTTTTATAGTCTTCTTCATGTTCTTTTGGACCCAGAAAATTTTAACATCTCATGAAGCTTTTTTCTTAACTTAACTTTTTTCTTCTTCTTCTTCTTCTTCATCTTTTTCATCTATACAGACTTTCTGCTTATTTTTTTACTAAATAAAAAAGATCAGACTAACATTTTGCCTTGGTGAATCTCGAACAATTCCAAATACTCAAATAAATGCTACAAAACTTATTCAAAGGCAGTTGGGTAAAGAAAATTTTTCTAGAGCTGCGAATTCTACATTATCAACAGATAATAAAACAAGAGACATTTCTTCAGTGTTGGCATATTTTTTTCAGGAAAGAAGAGAATCTTGAACGCTTTCAAAGGAAATAGTATTGTCTTTTAAAAACGGACGATACTTTTTGTTCTTTTTCATTTGATGAAATTTTTAAAGAATGAATCAACCTTTATGAAGAAAATATTTGAATATGAAAAAAAAATTTTCTTTTTTTGAGTGAAAAAATAAATTACCTGGGTGAATTCCTCCTCCCCTCCACTGCTATTGTCTTCACAATCTGAGGTATTAAGCGTTGCTCTTCGATGCCTTTGATTTGAATTTATTAAAGGCAACAGTAAATGATGACGATTTCTTTTTGTGCGAATTGCTGCCTCAACTAAATTGTATGGAGTTAAAATAAAAGCGTTATTATTCCTTCGAAGATTTGGCGACAGTGCACGATGTAATGCCTGAAATTTAAAAAGAGATTATTGTCGACTTCAAAAATATTTTTCTCTAAAAATTACACAAAAAAAATATATAAAAATATTTATATAAAAATATATTTTATATAAAAGAACTTTGAAAAAATTTGAAAAAGCACCAAAAAAATAACTCGAAACAGAAGAAATAGCTTAAAAAGTAGATTTAAAAAAATATCAACTCACCCTGGTGAGTTCGTGGCGAACATTTTGAGAATTTTTATCAATGGCTACACTTGTACAAAGAGCAAAAACCGCTTCTTCATGCCTTCCTAAAGCTGATAGAGCTAATCCTCGTCTATAATGTCCCTGTAGGATGAAAAAATAATTTTTGTAATTTTTTATTATAAAAAAAATGTTTTCTTATTATTTTTTAAATGCATTTTTATGTAAACTATATTTAGAAACATTAATAATACCAACCTTGCCCCAGTCTGGTCTTAAACGAACTGCATGATCAGCATCGGTGAGAGAAGCTTGCGGCCTATTCAGCAAAAATAAGGCATGGGCCCTGTTGCTAAGATGCAATGGACTGTTAGGTGCTAAAACAAACAAAAAATACAAATTCAATTAGAAAATTTTGTTTCTTCAAATTGGAATAAAAATTTATTTTTTGTATTTAAAATTAGTGATTTAAATAATTCTATCGAATTAATAAAATTGAAAATTAAATAAATAGAAAATTTTTATTAAATTTAAAGGCTGTAAATAATAATGATGATGGTAATAATAGCAATTTTTTATTATTATAATAATAGATAATAATAATTAATAATTAATAGTGAATTATTATTTAGAGGAAAAAAAAAGAAAATATATTTTTTTAAATAAAAAATTACAGAAATTATAATAAAAATTTAATATTAAATAAAAAAATATAGAAAAGAAAAATAATAATATACAGATAATAATAATAATTAATAATAATTAAAATAATAGTAATATAATAAACAAATAAATTTTTTGCTTTTTTCTGTAGAAAATTAATAATAATAATTATTATTATTATTAGTAATAGTTAATAAGAAATAACAACAAATTGCAAAAGCAAAGAATAATAAACACTCGTAAATAAAAATAAACATAAATAATTTTTCAACACTCTATTAAAATAACATTAATCAAAAGAAAAACTTAGAAAAATTAAATATTTCATGTACATAAAAATTTTATAATGAAACAAAATTAGGTAAGAGAAATTAATAACAATAATTATATATGGAAGTGTGTAATTGTATAAAAGTTCTTAAGCAACAAAATAATGCAATTTATATTTCGTAAAAATAAATATATCCTTCAATTATATCGATTATTACATTTACTAAAATTACAAACGGATTTAGCGACAGTAAAATATCTTTCTATCTCTCTTTCTCTTGCTATATCACAATTTAAAATCAGAAAGGCCCCCATTGCTGATATTCTCCCATTGGAAAACTATGTCGTAAATCAGCAGAATTTCGAGTTTCAAACTCGATGAATTGCATTACATAAAATTGTTGTCGTAATGATGCTGATAGTTTAGATTACGATATAGAATTTTTTTTTTTTTCGTAAATAAATTAATAACCGACTATTGTTTCTGCAATGACTTAACTACGAAATTATTAACTAATAAACCTACTTTATTATTGAGGATCTTGTTTTCCCTTTTTTTTTTTAATGTCGAAACAAAATTGAATTTTCAGAGAAGAAAAACTTTTCTTTTTTTTTGAATTTGAATATTTTTAATTTTACAAAATTAACTTAATTTGTAAAAAGATATTATCTAATTAGTGTTAAATTTGTGAGATGTATTTTTGAATAATAAGTTACATAAAGTTGATTTTACTCTCAAGTGTTATTAATTTACATAACAATATACCCAGTAATGAAGCTGGAAATATATTTTGTTTTTTACATAAAAGAAAATCGTAACCTTTAGAAAAAACGGAAAATTAATTAAATCCAAGTAGAGTTTAAATTCTAATAGTAATTAATTAATTACTAGAATTACTATAGTTTTTATAATTAACCGATAACTATTATGATTAATCGATAATTATTATTATAATTGTAAAATTAACCGATAATTTTTAATGTAATTAATCGATAATTATTATAAATAGTTGATAATTTAATAAAATTTTTAAACTAAGGAACAAATTTGGCTAATCAAGAAAAAAGAAGGAAAATTTTATTCGAAGATGAGAATAAGGTTCATGAATTATTCTGATTTTTTCTTTTGTTCCTAAGTCGGAAACTGATTTAATTTAAGAGGCTAAATCTAGAAAAAGTTCGTCGAACTTGAAAGAAAAGACGGTGTGATACACTTCCGCATGTAACAAGGTTATCACAATAATCAAACCATGAAGTTTAGAATTTTTTTCCAGGACAAAAGTTCTTATATAGTTAGCGCTTATAAAATTATACGAGTCTGTATAATTTATCGTCTCTAGCAATTTTTTTTTTTAAATTTTGAAGACAAATAAAAAAAAATAAAACTGAAATTATTTGGCGAATTATTTATTCTAAATTAAAAAAAATTAACGAATCATTTATTTGTCTTGTGTTATAAATACACTGATGAATAAATATTTTGGTAAAAAGTACAATGGACGAGAAATTATAATTTTTAATAAAAAAAAAAAAATATTTTCAGAGAAGACAATTTTATTTTAAGTGAAAAAAAATTGTTTAAAGTGGAATAATTGAATGTGTTTTTCGTTTTAAAAAGATAGGAGGTGAATGGCAACGTCAACGGATGACGCAGAGTACATCCTGGCATTGTGAGCAATGTCATTGCCTCCGCACCCAAGAGAGTCTGTTGTCCACTCTCAAAGGCCAGTTAAACGATGCACAATGAGGGGAGTCTCACTCTCTATATACTCTAACATTGTATATTTCAACTTTCCTCTAATTTTCTTCAAACCAATTATCATTATTCTTCTGTTTGTCTAGTGAAATTTTCCTAATGAATAACGTGAGATGCTGAATCCTGATATATTATGGATTCAGTCCAAGAAATTGAATCTCTTTTTCACTATGTTCAACATTCTTGCATTAAAGCCAAAAATTCCTCTTCGTCTTATTAGCATTGTTTGTATTATTTATTTATTCATTTCTTTAGTTTAGTATAAATTTTCACAAGTATTTTGTGAAATTATTTCATGATGTAGTGTAATAAAATATTTATTAATAAAAAATATTTTAAAAAATATTTTAAAAAATAAAAAAATATATAAAAAACTATTTTAAAAAATAAAAAAATGTTTTTAAACATAGGTAGTAAAAATTAAAGCGCTGTTAAAAATTTAAATAAATAAAAATTTTTTGATCTAAATTTTTTGCATTTATTGTAAATGATATCTTTATAATTTATAACAAAAAAAAAATTCTAGAATTTTTTAATTTTGCCTAGAATTTTTACAAAGGATAATATTGTACCAAAAAAAAAATTATTTCCTTATTAAGAAATCCTGATATGGCTAAAAAATGCACCTGGCATTTTATTTCCACTTGGGGATAAAAGCAAATGCCAGAAAAAAATACAAATTCTTGTTGCAAAAAAAAGTGTAATAATGAGATTAGTCATGATACTTTTTTATACGCATTCCCATTTCTCGGTCATTCGTGCTAACATTCTGACGTATTAATATCGATTGGAACACTTAAAGTTGGAATACGATAGGCATATAATATAAAGTTTGTCTGCGAGTGACATGTGTTTATAATTCATGTCTGCAATGTTTGTATACACATTTAAGGATACACTTTTTATAAAACAAGAAAATATTCGTATCATGTGTTTATCCTTCAGAATAATGGTTTATTATAACAAATATTTATAAAAAATTTATAAAAAAATAATAAAAATAAAAATAATAAAGAAAAAATTATTATAAAATTAAAAATAGAAAAAAGAATTATAATAAAAATTATAACAAAAATAATAATTATAACTTTATAATAATTTATAATAATGTACGTCAATACACTGACAAAACAATATATTTGAATCAAACATAATCTTTGTTATACAGTAAACCAAACATTATTTTTGAATGAAACAATAATTTTGATTCAATACATAAGTTTGATTCAATAATATAAAAAATATTTAATTCAAACATTTTTTTTCTCGTTGGCCTCATATTTTTGGAGTAGAAAAAATTTTTCTCAGTTTTACAATCTTTTAATAATAAAATCTAAAAACGAAATTCTCGAGAAAAGCAAACAAAGTGCAAATAAAAGAAAAAAAATTTATAAAATCAAATTTTCCAGTTTTATTTTTCTTTGAAAACATTTTATAAATTTATCTTCTTCTATTTTTAAAATATCTAATAACTGGAGAAGTTTCTTTTAGAGGCATCCGAAATTAGAGCCTCAGTGTCTTTTTAAATCGAATTTTCGATTATAAATTTTCAACACACGAGTTGCACGCGATTTTTATTAGTAAACACAGTGTTAAAAAATCAATGTTTTGTGTATCGTGAACAGGAACAATGACGATAACAATTTACAATAATTATGTTAAAAAATATCTTTTCCTGGAAAAATATGCATATAGAGTTGAGAAAATTAAAATTTTTTGGTTAAAACTCAATTATTTGCAAAGATTTTAATAAAATTTTTTGCAACAATAATTTAATTATTTTTATAAATTAGAAAATTTTTCACAGGGAATTAATTATTTAAATAAAAAAATTTATAAAATTCATTGCAAGAATTCAATTATTTTCATGAATAATAAAATTCTTCTCAGGATTTCAATTATTTTTAATACTATTTTAAATGAATTCTTCGAAAGAATTGAATTATTTTTAAAAGTTTTATTAAAATTCTTTGAAAGAATTCAAGTTAGTATTTTTACAAATTTCAACACAATTGTTGGCAAAATTTCAATTATTTAAAAAATTTCCCCAATTCAATGATTTTCAAAATCTACTGTTTCAATAAAATTTTCAAAAAGAATTCAATTATTATTTGTAAAAAATGTAAATAAAATTCTACGCAAACATTTAATTATTTTCATAAATAATAAGAACTTCACAGGAATTCAATTAATTATAAATTTATAAATATTTTATAAATTTTTTAATAAAAATTGATTTAAAAATGAATTTCAGTTACAATTTTAGATTATAATTGAATATTAAAAACATTATAGCGTAAATTTTTATAGAAATAGATAAATTTCAAAAAGTTTTTACAAGTATTGAAAATTTTAATTCCTTTGGAAAAATAATCAAGTATTTTTATATTTATTAAACAAAAATTATTCACGAATAATTTAGTTTAGAAATCATGGAAAAAAAATTAGTCTTTTTAAATTTTTAATTAAAATTTTTTGAATATAGTCAAATTCTCGTAAAAAATTAAAAATATTTATTTACATTTTCAATTAATTTGAATTTAATTGAAAGTTAATTAATATAAGTTTTATATTAAAATTTTTTTTTTTTACTTTTAAACAGTATTTTTAAACATAATCAATGTTTTGAAGAATTCCATCCGAAAGTTTGGAAAATAATTGAATTTCATAAAAATTTAGAATTGAAAT